TGAAATCTTATCATTTGCAAGTAAATGGATGGAACTGGAGAACATCATTCTGAGCGAGGTTAGCCAGGCTCAGAAGACCAAAAATCGTATGTTCTCTCTCATATGTTAGATCTTGGGCAAATACAGCAAGGTGGTTGGACTTGGGTCACATACTAAGGGGAGAGCACATACGGGAGGTATGGGGATAGGTAAGAAACCCAAAACAGGAAAGTGTTTGATGTCCCCATTGCAGAGGAACTAATATAGAAACCTTAAAGTGACAGAGGTCAATATGAGAAGGGGATCAGGAACTAGTGAAAAGGTCAGAGATGAATCAACTTGGGATATAATACATTTGTACATGGAAGCAATGCTAGGAATCTCTGTATAGCTATCCTTATCTCAACTTGCAAAAACACTTTGTCTTTCATATTATTGCTTTTGTTTTCTCTTCAACAAAATTAGAGATAAGGGCAGAACAGATTCTGCCTGGAAGCGAGGGGATGAGAGGGAGGGGGTGGGGAGTAGGGGGAGAAATGGCCCAAACAATGTATGCACATGTGAATAAATGAATTAAAAAAAAGCCTTAAAATAATGCCTTTTGTCCACAGGCTCCTTGATCCGAATACTTGAATTTAATAGAGACACACATTCTTCGCTCATAACTATATGGAATATGTGTAAATAACAAAAACCTAGTGAACTTTATAGCAGAAAATGATTGAAAGTAATTAGAATGATTTTTTAAGGAGAAGAGAATAGAGTTATTAGAAGTGAGATTTGGGGTTAATACACTGAGGGAGAAGGATTAACTCTAGGTTTGCATTCATTATCGAAAAAAAAGTCATTGGACCATTTGTGCACAATGGGAATTTCATAGCAGAGAGAACCTAAGCATATTAGAATCCAATAAAATGTCACCTTTGTGCATTTAATTGAAATTTATGTTCATATTAAATCTGTTTCATGTGAGAATGAATAAAAATGGATTATCTTAAAAATTTGAAATTATAGTTTTCTACAAATATTTTTGTCATGAATAAAAATTATGTTGAAACCAAGTACTAAAAATTTGTAAATGACTAAATTAAATATTAGATACACATATGAAAGAATATTTTGCATATTCAGATGTATTTATGTGAGTCTGAAATACTAGAGAAAAATACTTTTTACTATCTTAAGGAAAAAGGAAAATGTGACTTATTACATCAGTAACATAAGAAAAAAGATTACATGAAATATAAATGATACAATGTTCAAGAAGATGGATTCAAATCATTCCTACATACTTCCGTATGTGTTTTATGCATTATCCTAATTTTTCCAGTATAAAAATCTCAGTCTTCTGGTTGTCCCAGACCACAAGTAGGGAACAGTATTTTCTTCCTTATTCAACAATCTAAGCAGTGCAAGCACAATAGCACTGCTACTTCAATGAACAGGGAAAATGCACAGAAACAAAAACAAAAGCAATGGTGAACAAAACAAACTAAACAACTGGAATATTGTTACATTAAAACAAAAATTAACACCTGTGGCAAAGAAAAGCTTTTGGCCTATTTTCAATTAGCCTTCTTCTGTTTATATTGACATCTTTTCTCTTGGTTTTTATCTACTCAACTACTTGTGTGCTACTCATTAATTTTGATCCTCAGTCCTCAGCCCTTTGCTGTTCTCACATTCTTGAAGCTTAACTCTTCCACCTTATTTTGGTAGCTCCCTATTTTATACTTTAAGTGGCCCTTAACCACATTTCCAACTTTCTGTTGAGTATTTCTACTTAAAGTCTATTTAATTATTTCAAAATCATATTTCATATCTCTATGAATCATCTCATGAATTTTGTGCTCTGAATGGTAAGAGTGATCTTTCATTCCAGCGTCTTTCTCATGTTCCATTTTCAATCTTGGACCAAGTTCTGGTTTATATTTTGTAATAATGTTTACATTAGTCCACTTTTTATCCATAAGGGATTGTTTCAAAATCATCAGTGGA